TTTGTTGGTGGACTAAGTAAAGCAGATTGCCCTTCCTAATATATAATGCTCATCCCATCAGTTGAAGTTCTGAATATAACCCAAAGGCTGACCATCCCATCAGTAAGAGGGAACGCCTCCTGCCTAACTGCTTTGAGCCAGGACGTCGTTCTTTCATGACCTTTGGATTTGAATGTAAGTATCTGTTCTTCTTGTGTCTTATGCCTGCTGGCTTCCAGATGGGAACTTACATCATTTGTTCCTCTGGGTCTCAGGCCTTAGGACTTGGACTGGAATTACATATCAGCTTCCTGGGTTTCCAGCTTCCTGGCTGCAGATCTTGGGACTTCTCAGTCTCCATAATAGCATGATGTAATTCCTTATAATCTCTCTCTCTCTGTCTCTCCATACACACACACTCACTTTATTGGTTTTGTTTCCTGTGGAAGTGGCTTTGAAACTGGGTAATGAGTAGAGGCTGGAAGGGTTTTGAGTTGCATGCTAACCTACATTACCATGAACAGAATGTTGGTAGAGATATGAACATTAAATGTCATCCTGCACTTTGGGAGGCTGAGGAGAGTGGATTACTTGAGCCCAGGAGTTCGAGACCAGCCTGGGCAATGTGGTGAAACCCCATTTCTACAAAAAGTACAAAACTTAACTGGGTGTGGTGGTGCACGCCTGTGGTCCCAGCTAATTGGGAGGCGGAGGTAGGAGGATCAACTGAGCCCAGGAGGTCTGGGCTGCAGTAAGTTGTGATCACTTCTTTCCACTCTAGCCTAGGTAACAGAGTGAGACCTTGTCTCAAGAAAAAAACAAACAAACAAACCCCCCCCCAAAACAAAAAAACAAAAAACAGGTCATTCTGGTCTGCTGAGGTCTCAGACAGAATTAGAAACATGTGATTTGAAAGTGGAATTAAGGCAGTCCTAGTTGTAAGTGAAAAAGAACTTAGCTGAACTTCCTCCTAGTGTTTTATGGAAGGTAGAATTTGTGAACAATGAAACTGGAGACAGTAGTTCTCTCTTATCTATGGTTTTGCTTTCTACATTTTAGTTACCCAAGGTCAACTGCCATCTGAAAATCTTAAATGGAAAATTTCAGAAACAGGCTGACTGCAATGGCTCACGCCTGTAATCCTAGCACTTTGGGAGGCTGAGGCCAGTGGTTGACTGAGGTCAAGAGTTCGAGACCAGCCTGGCCAACAAATTGAAGCCTCATCTCTACTAAACATACAAAAATGAGCTGAGCGTGGTGGCAGGCACCTGTAATCCCAACTACTCGGGAGGCTAAGGCAGGAGAATCGCCTGAACTCTGGAGGCAGAGGTTGCAGTGAGCTGAGATTGTGCCATTGCACTCCAGCCTGGGCAACAGAGCAAAAACTGTGTCTAAAAAAAAAAAAAAAAAAATTTCAGAAGTAAACAATTCATAAGTTTTACATTGAGCCCCGTTCTTCTGAGTAGCACGATAAAATCTTAAAAAAAAAAAAAAAAAAATTTCAGAAGTAAACAATTCATAAGTTTTACATTGAGCCCCGTTCTTCTGAGTAGCACGATAAAATCTTGCACTATCTCACTTTGTCCCACCTGGGACATGAATCACCCCTCTGTCTAGCATGTCCATGCTGTCTACACTACCTACCTGCCCATCACTTAGTAGCCATCTTGGTTGTCAGATGGACTATTGTGCTATTTCAGGGTTTGTGTTCAAGTAACCTTTACTTTATTTAATAATAACCCCAAAGTTCAAGAGTAGTGATGCTGGTATATTGTTATAATTTTTCTATTTTAATATTATTCTTCATCTCTTTATGTACCTAATTTATAAGTTAGACTTTATCATAGATATGTATGTATATGAAAAAACATAGTATATATACAGTTCAGTACTATCTGTGGTTTTAGGCATACACTGGGCATCTTGGAAGGTACTGCCCACAGGTAAGGGGGAATTGCTGTATTTAGCTGAAGAGATTCCAGAGCAAAGTGTTGAAGGAGTGGCTTGGTTCCTCCTGACTGCTTATAGTAAAATGTGAAAGGAGAGAGATTAATTAAAGAAGTGAGAAGTCACGCCTATAATCCCAGCACTTTTGGAGGCTGAGGCAGGTGGATCGCTTGAGGTCAGGAATTTCAGACCAGACTGGCCAACATGTTGAAACCCTGTCTCTACTAAAATACAAATATTAGCTGGGCATGGTGGCATGCACCTGTAATCCCAGCTACTTGGGAGGCTGAGGTGGAAGAATTGCTTGACCCTGGGAGGCAGAGGTTGCAGTGAGCCAAGATTGTGCCACTGCACTCCAGCCTGGGCAACAGATCAAGACTCTGTCTCAAACAAAAAACAAAACAAAACAAAACAAACAAACAAAAAAAGTGAGAAATAACAATAGAATTCTCAGCTCCCAACTGACGGAATGAATTTCCTCTTGGCCAAGGAGACCCCAGAGAAACTGAAGCTGAGTTTCTGGCCATGATGGGATGGAGGTCAGACACACCTCATTATCCCCTTGCCTTCAACAATTACCATCAATCTTTCTTCTCTAAGGGCTAAACAGAAACCAGCCCTTTCAAAAGACTCTACACTGATAATGTAGATAACTAGCTTATTTCCCCAGGTACAGAACAAAGATGAGATTAATCGTTTCTTCACCCCTCCCTGAGATGTCTGCTTGCTCGATTCCTTTTTTCTTCATTCATCTTATCTTATGTAAAATGTAAATTTTGGGGGTACTAACTAAAGTCTCTCACAACTATGTAATCATTTACCTCATTGCCCCCTCCTTCCTTTTAAGGAAAATGTAGAACTACTAAACCTCTTAAGAACATCTCTGGAGGCCGGGCGTGGTGGCTCAAGCCTGTAATCCCAGCACTTTGGGAGGCCGAGACTGGATCACGAGGTCAGGAGATCGAGACCATCCTGGCTAACATGGTGAAACCCCGTCTCTACTAAAAATACAAAAAAAAAAAACTAGCTGGGCGTGGTGGCGGGCGCCTGTAGTCCCAGCTACTCGGAGGCTGAGGCAGGAGAATGGCGTGAACCCGGGAGGCGGAGCTTGCAGTGAGCCGAGATCGCGCCACTGCACTCCAGCCTGGGTAACACAGCGAGACTCCGTCTCAAAAAAAAAAAAAAAAAAAAAGAACATCTCTGGAAAATAGAGCCACAGATGTGTCTGTGACTCACATCTTTCCTGGGTGCACCCTTCAGCTGGCTCCATGAACCTTGATTGATTGAGACACCTGCCTCCGTCACTCATTTTGGTTGTCAGAAAAAACAATTAAGCAAAAAGGAAGCAGAACTTGAAGATTTCGCAAAATTTCAGCCTTTCCCTATTGCAAAAAAAAAAAAAAAAAAAAAATTAGAAAGCTTGTTCTGAAGAGAACACTGAGAATGTGTCTGAACAATCACGTGGTGAAGAGATCACGAGGCCAGGAATGGCGGCTCACGCCTGTAATCACAGCACTTTGGGAGGCTGAGGTGAGGGGATCACTTTAGCCCAGGAGTTCGAGACCAGCCTGGGCAACATAGTGAGACCCTGTCCTTATAAAAAAAAATAAATAAAAATTTAAACAATAGAGATCATGAGTACAACTCATGCACTTCATCAGCTATCTTGGCAGAATCCAGGAATGGTATTATACCAGTGAAGACACAGTTGGAACTAAAGAGGGTAGAGAAAGCAGGACAGAATGAAGGATAACTCTCAACCTTCTTGGAATCTACAGGACCAAACCATAGAGCCATCAGCTACGAATGTGTGCTAAGAATGAAGCAGAAGGTGATTAAAGAATCATCAGGGGTGCCATTGCCACCATAGGCCCCAGAACCAAGGTGTTTTCTCCTCTGTTTCCAAGGGCAGGGCTTTGTCTCTGGTTTCAGCCAGGACAATCCCATCCAGTGCCTCAGGGGTGGACTGCTCTCTGAAGAAAGCTATGTGAACAGGGAAGCTTGAAAGAGCAGTGGAGGTGATGCTACCACCTCAGTGGGCCTTTAGGGCAGAGCATCAAACCAAAGAAGCTTATTCTCAAGTCTTGAGATCTAATGGAATTTGCCTTGCTAGGTCTTGCACTTGCTTGAAACCCGACACCCCTTTCTTATTTCTTTCTTATTATTCTCCTTCCTTATTTCTCCCTTTTGGTATAGCAATGTCTATCCTATGCCTGTCCCACCATTGTGTTTTGGAAGCACATAACTTGTGTGGGTTCACAGATTTACAGATAGAGAGGAGTTTGCCTCAGGATAAATCATGCCTTGGTCCTCACTCATACCTGATTTAAATGATATTTAGATGAGACTTTAGACGAGTCGATGGTGTTATGAGTTAAGACTTTGGAGGCTGTTGGAGTGCAGGAAACATATTTTGCGTGCAAGAAGGACATACATTTTGGGGGTGCCAGGCGTGCGATGCTATAGACAGCTGTGTCTCTCCAAAATTCATATGTTAAAGCTCTAACCCCCAATGTGACCGTAGTTGGAGATAAGACTATTAGCAGGAAATTAAAGCTAAATAAGGTCAAAAGCACTGGACCTCATTTGATAAGACTGTGGCTTTTTAAGAAGAGGAAGAGCTGCCTCTGCCTCTTTCTCTTCCTCTCTTCTCTTCCTTCCTGCCTTTTCCCTTCCCTCCACTGTGTGAAGACACAGCAAAAAGGTCATCTATAAGCCAGGAAGAGAGCTCTCACCAGGAACTGAATTGGCTGGTACCCTGATCTTGGACTTCTCAGTCTCTAGAACTTTTAGAAACAGGTTTCTGTTGTTTAATCCATCTAGTCTGTGGTATTTTCTTTTGACAGGCTGAGCTAAGACAGGGAGGATGGTGGAACATCTGATGATGGCAGTGCCGTCAAATCCATCTTGTCCCAAACATCCCTTGAAGGTCCCAGAACCATTCCAGAGTGGGATGTCCTGTCTTAGCATCCAAAGTATCCGTAGGTGTTACCCCAACCCAATCCCCAGAAACTGGAAACATTCCATTTGGTGCCGTCCTGAAGTGTCTGTAACAAAAATCCCACACACTTGAGTCTTTTTCATCGGTTTTATTAGCATCAATATATACAAAGTGGAAAATGACTTAATTTCATTATTCTAGCTTAGAAAGTTTGTTTTGCTTTTTATTCCGTTTGGCGATAAAATGGAAATGAAGATTTCCCAGGAGAAAGCCTACCTTTGGGGGTGCTGAACAACTCAAATAATATCTGACCTCAAATGACCCATCATGCCTAGTCAAGGACATAGGAAGGTCATGCCCTTTGGATTCACTCAAAGGGCATTTTTGCCTGAGGCCCATGCCTCAGCCTAAAGCTACCCACATATTTGCCAAATCACTACTTCTTACACAACCCTCCTGATTATGCAGACGCTTTGCTTCCTTCTGGGCTGTGTGGCAGTTTTCAAAGCTATCAGCCTGAGGTTCTATAGGCTCTCCAAGGGGTGAGCTTCAAAAGATCATAGTTAAAGCACATCTATGAAACTAAGTAAGAATGGCCATCAGGTAGCGATCAGAATACTTATGTTAGCTAAATAATTCTACCAAAAAAAAAAAAAAAAAAAGCAAAAAGCTGAGCTCCAAGCTAAAGAGGGCTGAGTGTGTGCATTTTTAAAGCACAGGGTGGTAGCTGACAGATACAGCTTATATGAATTAGCATGTAATACACGCCATCACATGCATTCTCTGAAGCTCACAATCTCTGTAAACGTATTTCCCCACTGTTTTAAAAACAAAGAGTGGCTTGTAGGAAGGCTCAGTCCATTCTCGAGTTTCTCAAGAGTGTATCCTATTCAAAAATATTTAATCCCAATGGGTTTTAATATTGATCTTATAAAAACAGACGTCTATGAACTGTAATGAGATGCCTTGCACATTTTTGGCACTATTGTTTTTTTACCTTTACGTATTACAAATACACATTCAGATATTTTAAAAAGAAAAATAGACACCAACCTGTCTTTTCAATCACACTGTACATCGTTGAACTCGTATGATCCGTCTCTAGGCTAAAACAAACTTTTAAAACATGGTTACAGGTGCGGTACTACTAAGACAGAACTGAGACACTGGTCTCCTGAAAAAAACAACAATGACAGCAACAACAACAACAAAACAAAAAACCCAACGCCTTTTCTATCTTTCCAATAGCGAATAAGAACACCTGGGGTGTGGCCTGGCTAGTTTTGGGGATAGGGTTAGGATAAAGATTTATATTTTGTCAGTCTTTATAGAAGGCAAATGTTTAGTTTTCACATAACCATAATATGTTCTAAAATCAAATATTATTAATAGAGTCTTCACTCCAGGTGACCCAGGGTTAGGGTTAGAATGAGCATCCAATAAAATGGATTGGGTTCTGCCTTTTAAGGAAAGGTTACATTATTTTTGTTGTTATCTTTCTCCAAACATGACATTGTTCACTAATGGCCTGGAACACTTCTCTGGTTCTTGCATTAAATGGGGCTTTGGGTCCTGGAAAACAGCCTTGAGCTATTTCTTGCCATGGACCACACAAGCATGCCTTCAGGAGTTTACATGCAAGATTCTTTTCTGGCAGAAGGAAAATATTCTGGTCTTAGACCCCAAGATTGAGGTCTGAGTTCCTGCTGGCAAGGAGAGTACATGTGTGCATAAAACCAGCTTTCCCTATCTTGCTTAAGATGTTTTCAATGTAACCACCAAAACATAGATTCCCCACCATTCTCCCTACGGCTAGAAAGATCTTTTCTTGTTTGAAACCCAGCAGACTTGAAACAATTCCAGAGAGAATGGGAGGGCATCAAAGAGAGTTCCAAATGCCACTGAGCCCGTGTGCCTGTCCAAGCCATTGACTGTCACCACCACGTCACCGGTCCCAGGGAGGTGAGTCTGCTTTACACATAGTATTTCTTCCATGCACCCACACCCTCCACCTTCTCTTTATTCCTGTATTTAGAAAAGAATTTTCCAAAGAGTCACACATGCACCAGCTTCACTGGGTTGGGGGAAAACAGACCCTGATAAAATAGGAGGAATGCCCGTGTGATTAGATGTGGGGCTATGGAATCCTTTCTGGATGAAATTCCTCTCTCTGTCTTCATCGATGTTCAGGTCAGACGATACAGGATTCCACTGGACGGTTTGCTGTGATTTAAAATCTCCTGCCCCTGTTCTCTGCAGCTCCTCAGTCAGCATTCACACCACCCTCCAACATTCAGACAGCTTCAGAGAATAGAAAAATAGTTTCTTCTCATAGGACCTCCCGCCCCCTGAAATACTTGATGGCAAGTATACTCTGAAGATGACACCTTTTAGAGAATCAGTGCACTTGACTCTCCTCTATTTTGAGAGCTGAGAGATATTCCAGAACCCCAGGAGAAAACAGAGCTCACCCCTGGATTTCCAAACATAGCACCTCCTTTTTCCCATCACAAATCCTTGTCACTGTATGAGTGGGGCCGCCGGTGCCTCCTAAGCCTGTGTGTTTATTATCACAGCTTGAGAGTGGCTTGCTGAACATGGTGATTGATTCTGGCACTCGTAGCATAAATTACGTGCTCTTTCATCGTTGAAAGAGTGTCAAAGAACAGAACATTTTATTAACCCACTTCCCTTACCCAACGATCCCCCTCACCCAGTTCTTCATCGGAACTCTCAAATCTCTCATTTTTTCTCTGAAAAATTCCCTTTGGTCATTTGTCACCTTTTTAGAAGGAAAACGTTTTCTTGTTTTGTCACTGTCCAGCAAGGCTAGAGTGGTAAAAGACAATGTTTACGTAACACCTTTGCTACCTTCAGAAGAACTGTGAGAGGGAGGGGATGTGGTAAAACCTTTCGGAAGCTGGTAGAATGGGAAGAGAGGACACAGAATTTGTTTTGGAGCGCAGTTCCCCAAATGGGTTTAAGTACCCATGCTAAATTCCAACCCAAACTAAGCCAACAAGAAATACCCTTTCCAACCTAATCTTGGGACTTAGATTTGTACTGAAAACACCATGAGCATGGTTCCCAAAGATGCATGCAATTCGATGCAGCCTTAGCATGGCATTGCTGATGGGAGAAACTCCATCTGTTGTTTTGTGTTTTTGCTGCCGCGATTTGCCACTTTGCAAGTCTTCCACCTGCCTTCAGAATTGAGGCTGTAACATGAATTTTACTGAGGCCGCAAAACATCCAAACCCACACCTATTTCACTTTTAAATATAATAAATACAGGGAAGAAAACAGTAAACCTTCAATAAAGAGTCTAAAGAAAAGACAGTCGACATTCTGGGGTTTCAATCAAATGCCACATGGTCTCTGGATGAATGTCTCGAGGAGATTGTGGCTGAGTTCACAAGTCCCCTTCTCAGGTGTAGCTCTCTTTAGATAGAAACCTCATACTCTCTGGTTTCCTGCAAGAGAGAGAAGCACAGATTTGTCAAACCCTTGTGTGGCAGAGTGATATACATAGGGGGATGCAGTTCTTGGCACCTCTGTATGTCCATGCCCTTGGTCGTGACTTTGCAGTACCCTCTCACTCTGACCCTGACTTGCTTTTGCCAATGGGTTATAAGGAAATGGGGTACAACAGCTGCTTGAAACATACTTGTATGTTTCTGCTCACATCCCGCCCATCTGTCATCACCATGAGCTAGGCTTTAGTCGCTGCAGGAAAATGAAAGACACACAAAGCAGAGCTGAGTCACCCAGCCATCAACCAGACAATGTCAGGATACCACCCAGCTAAAACGCTGACCCACAGACTGAAGAGCAAATGAATGCTTGTTGCATTAAGCCATTGAGTTTGGAGATGTTTGTTACTCAGCATTACTATAGCTCTAGGTCACTGATACACTCTACTAATAAGTATTCATAATGTCTAGTCTCTAAAATTCTTTATTTCAGTCTGACCTTTTCCCATGATTTCAAAGCAAGCTACATAGAATGCAAAACAACATATGGCCTGATCTACCATTGCCATATGAAATGACTACAACATGTGGGTAGTTGAATTTCTTCAATATTTATGGAGTGTGAGTAATGTATTCCAAGCCCCAGGGACAAGGAGCAAGGAGATAGAAGAAGTCACAGGCTCAGCCCTGGAAGTTGTCACTGTCACATACTTTAATGGAAGTCTCCAGCTCCCATTCAGCCAACACAGATGTGCAATCACATCTATGCTTCATGGTACATGGAAGTGTGGTGGGCAGGCCCCAAGGTGGTCTCCATGATCCCCACCTCCTGGGGCTCATGCCTTTGTGTGGTCTCCTTCTTTTAAGGGTGGGTAGAGCCTGTGACTTGATTCTAACTAGGAGAACACACAGGTGCTAGGATGTCACTTCCATGTTTGCATGACACAGGCTTGTGACTTCTATCTTGCAAGATGACTCTCTCTCTCATGGTGACTTTGAAGAAGCCAGCTGCTATGTCATGAGACGCTCTATGGAGAGGCCCACATGGAAGAAACTGAGGGTGGCCCCTAGAAGACAGCTCAAAGAAATTGAGGCCCTCATTCTAACAACCTGCAAGGAACTGAATGCTGTCAACAACCATGTGAGTTTGGAAGTGGATCCTTCCCAGGTTGAGCCTCAGATGAGACTGCAGCCCAGTTGCTGCCTTGTTTGTAGCCTGTGAGTCATAAAGCAGGGGGTCCAGCTAAGCTGTGCCTGGCTTCCTGACTTATAGAAACTATGAGATAATAAATGTGTGTTGTTAATTTAGGCCCCTAAGTTTGCAGTAATATTGTTACACATCAATAGATAACTAATACAGGAGATCAGAGGAAGTGGAGGTGAAGGAAGGTTAGTGGGACAAGAAACAAGTCAGGTTTATTCCCCCCAAACATTGGGAGATGGTTGCACATCGTTACACAGTGAATTTGAAGGATGATGGTTTTGCAAAGTCATAACCAGCCTTTTGCTTCCTCGCATGTGCCCTGGACCTTTGCACATGCTCTCCCATCTGTCTGACATCCTCTTCAGCCCACCGTCCAAGCCCTAACCACTTCCCATGTCTCAGCTATACTCTCACTTTCTCAACGATGCCTTGCCCAACTCCAAGTGTCCCCATTATACATTCTCCTAGCAATTTTTTCATAGTCCTTAAAAAGTATTATTTGTTGTAATCAAAATATTCATGGACACATTGGATTGTCGGAGGTCCAAGGGAGGCAAGATAGCATCGCAATTAAGAGTGTCAGGTTGAATTTGCATCCTGGCTTCAGGCTGTGCATCCTGGCTGTGCACCACCTTGGCCAAATTATTCTTTCCTCTCTCTGGACCTCAATGTCCTCATCAATCAATTAGAGATAACTGTGGAATGTATTGCAGAGAGCTGCAAGGATTCAAGGAGATTATGCATTTAAAGTGCTCAGCACATGACATGTATTATTATTGATAATAGTAATTCACAAGATGGTAAACTCATTACTGGTGGAATCTGTGTCTGTTCGGGTTCATGACTATGTTCCTAGCACCTAACACAGGGTCTGACACTCAAATGTGTAGGGATGTTTCACATGCCTTTGAATAAAGGGTGGAGCCCAGTGGGATGTGTGGGAATGCTGTACATTGCCACCAGACCACTGGTGGTCTGCTGTCTGTGGGTCTTGGGTGCAGCCTCTTTTTTCTGTGGGTGTTCTGCTGACAGTAATCAGCCTCTTGGGCTCGTCCTCAGCACCAATCACTTGTAAAGAGAGCTGGGTTCTCCCAGCAGTTATCTCTTTAGGGCTCTTCGTGGGGATAAGACAGGACCACTGGCTGTGCGCAATAGGAAATGAAATGTTTTGTCTTATTGTTGGTGAATTCAGAGCAAAGAGGGAGGGAATTGGAAAGAGACGAGAGAGATCAACTCACCCCTGTCTCATAAATGGGGTTGTCAAACTCGGTTTCCACGGTGATCTGGCTGTAGGGGTGGGAGTACATCAGAGGCAGGCGGAGATTGGAATAGTAGCGACATCTAGGGGAGAGAAAGGAGACAGAAGTTACTTCTCCCCAGCTAGGAGACACATTACAATATTGAACGGGAACAGTTGGTGCCACTTCCTGAGCAGCGGCACCTCTGTGAATGACAACGAGGATGTGTGCAAACAGCCTTTCGCAGGCGAGAATCCTAGTGAGGTGAAAGCAGAAATCATAACTGCTCTCAACTTGCAACCCAGGCAGCGAGAACCAAAGCCTTGTGACCCCCTCTTACTAGGGAGGGGGCGGAGCTTAATTTGTTTTCTCCTGGAAGGTCACTCAGGTCCCTCTTGAATGCAAAGGGAAACAAGAACAAGGATGAGCATTTATTGAGCACCTACTGTATGCCATATTGCCTTAGATCAGCCTTCCTTGACCACCTATTTATTTATTTATTTGTTTTGAGACAGGGTCTTGCTCTGTCACCCAGGTTGTAGTGCAGTGGTGTCTCACTGCAACCCCTGCCTCCTGGGCTCAAGTGATTCTTCTACCTGCACGCACCACCACACTTGGCTAATTTTTTTTTTTTTTAAGAGACGAGATCTCACTATATTGCCCATTTCCCAAGCTGGTCTCAAACTCCTGGGCCCAAGCAATCCTCCAGCCTTGGCCTCCCAAAGCGCTGGGATTATGGGGATAAACCACTATGCCTGGCCCATGACCACCTATTTAAAGGTGATTTCTCTGTTACTCACCACACCTAACCATTTCCTTCATTGTGTTTATCTTAGTGTGTTATAATTTATTTGTGTACTTACTCTACCCTGCCCCCAGTAGACTGTGGGCTCCATAAGGGCAGGGACGATTTATGTTAGGCATGTTCCTGCCTCAGAACCTTTGCACATGCTGTTTCCCTGCATGAAACCCTCCTTTTTCACATATCTGCATAGGTTTCTTTTGTTTTTGAAATGGAGTCTTGCTCTGTTGCCCAGGCTGGAGTGCAGTGTCACGATCTCGGCTCACTGCAATCTCCTCCTCTGAGGTTCAAGTGATTCTTCTGCCTCAGCCTCCCAAGTAGCTGGGATTACAGGTGCCCACCACCATGCCCAGGCGAATTTTATGTTTTCTTTTTTTTAGTAGAGATGGGGTTCCACCATGTTGGCCAGGCTGTTCTCGAACTCCTGACCTCAAGTGATTCGCCTGCCTTGGCCTCCCAAAGTCCTGGGATTACAGGTGTCAGCCATCATGCCTGGCCTGCATAGGTTTCTCATGATCACTTTCAAGTCCTTGCTCAAATGTCATTTCTCAGTGGGGCCTCCTCTAGCTACATTATTTAAAAGTCAACCACCACTTCTATTCCAGAATGCTTGCCCCCTCCCAGCCTTCTCTTCCTGCACTTATCAGTTTTTAACACATATATTTGCTTACATACTTTGCTTACTGTCTATCTTTCCTTGTTAGAACTTGAACCCCAGGAGAGCAAATATTTCCTTCTATTTTTTTTTTTTTTCCACAAATGATGTTTCTAGTACCCAGAAAACTGCCTGGCACCTAGTAGGTGCTCAACAACAGTGAATGTGAATGAATGAGTGGCTATTCTGGGACATGGTTTAATCTCTTCCTTCTGCATTCAATGCAAGTTTCTATGACCCCCAACACCTGGGACAGTGTCTGATATACAACAGATTGCCAATACGTATTTGTTGAATAAATGAGTGAATGCATGAGTGAGTGACGGAAGGAACGAATCAACATGTCTGGCAATATGTCATATCTACGTCCTCCACTAAACCATAACCTCCTTGAGGGCAGGAATAGTATTTGTCTTACTTGCTTGGAGGCTTCATAATCGCCCAGTGTAAATATTTATCCCACAGAATTGGGCTGAATCTGGGCATCTCTGCGATCACACAAATGCCACTATGCCCGAGCTACAGGTGGAGACCTTGAGGCTCAGAGAGATGAACCGCCCAGTCCCTCTGAGTGCTGGTGGCTGAGTGCTTGGCAGTCGTCTCCCCCATCAGCTCCCTACCTTGTGATGTAAATGTAGGCTCCTCCCAGCAGTAAGGAGATGATGAGGACCGGGATGAAGATAGCCAGGGCCATGTTCCCCCCTTCCAGCGACGTCTCTGCTGCCGCTTCTGCTACTGAACACAGGAGCCAGTGAGGTCCTCATTTCCCAGGTATCTGACTCCCATTGAGTGCCCACCTGCCCAGTTCTCCACCCTTTGGAGACGGCTTTCCAAGGTCTAAGGCTCTGTGAGGGCCTTAGACCTTGGAGGGCCATCTATAAAGACTAGAGGAAATGGTGCTGTTCCTTTGCAAGAGGTCCCAGACTCATCCTTGGGTGGGTTGGCCATAAGAGCTACAGAAAATCACACTGTTTGAAACCTGATCATACCATTCCCATTTTTGGGGGGCTACAGTTAAAATCTGGTTAAAGTCCAATTCACAGGAAGACTAGGAGAAAATCCCAAATTCAGTAACCGGGAAAGCAGATTTCCTGGACATTCCATGGAGTGGAGAAGAGAAACAGGAATGGGTCTGGACCCCAGATGCAGGAGTGGTGGGCGAATCTGGGTTTGTGTGTGTTGTTGAGTTGAACAGTGCTGGTGGTTTCTCACCCACAAGGTTTCTAAGGGATTCTCAGACTTGGTGCTCACCTGTGGAGCGGGGAGCTTGTTGCATGCAGACTGGCGGGCCCCTCCTGGACCTTTTGAGTCCCACTCTCCAGTCCAGGAGTGGGCTCTGAGCATTGGGGACAGCTCTCCGCCCTGCACACCCCAGTGACACCCCAACTCTGAAGGCCCGGTGTTGATTCCCAGAGGCTACCCTTGCACATTCCCTGGCTGCTCTCTCAACCTCCCGTTATTTGTGGCAATTGCAAGAACTAGAACAGCTGCTGCAGGGGCCTGGGGCAGAGGGCTGCTTTCCCAGCATAGCTTGAAGGCGGATCCTCCATCCCTTCTAGAAACTTGGCCTCCAGGTTTCCTCTGCCATTCTCCACGGTCACATCTAATAGAGCTTGGCTGTACACCAATCTATAACCCATTAACCACCACTTTAATGGGGTCTGAAAAATCAATCCTAATACCCACAATAAATGCATGAGCACAAAACGTTACGATGGCTCTCATAAGTTCCGAGCAACCCCAGCCCTTTGAGACGTTCTCATGGTTCATTGGTCGGCAAAAGGCAGAAAAAGGATACTCTGAATGGAAACTAACACGAAGTGCCCTCTATTTTCCAAGTGGAGTGTCTAATTCATGCCCCTTCACTTATATTTGAGCCCTGGTTCCACCCGCTTGGATTCAAGTGTTGTCTGTTACAAGGAACAGCCACTAGTGACATGTAATTTACATAGCCCCAGATTCTAAGTGAACTCATTATTGTCAGAAAGCTAAAGATGGCTCCAGGACTAATCAAAACTGCTTGATTGGGTAAAAACACTTTTTTTTAAAAACAGAAACAATATATTACAGTATATATTTTAAAATATATATACTATAATATACTGTATTTGTATTTACATGTATATACAGTAATATATTACAGTATATATTTTACATCACAGCCCCGGTGAGTGGTTTTGTACCGAATTCAATAGCGGTGACATAGAACGCTGGACATTTCACACACGGGAGGGGTTGGAAAGGGAAGGAACCACAAAATGAAAACAAAACTGAAATAAAATCCTGGATAGATTTTAACATCTGCTCCTCATGAATAAGTCTCAGTTGGGAATTTCTAATAAAAGGAGAGCTGAAGTAAGGAGACATGGGAGAAGGGGTGGGTATGTTGAGGGGAAAAAAGACTCAGGGAAAAATGGACCATTGAATGTTTCCAGGGCAAACTCTTCTCTCTGGAAACCAGGAGGACTCTCAGCATGGAAGGTGACACGTCACCAGATTTAGTTCCCTTTCTAGAATGGCATCATGAAAAGTTTTACAATAGGGTTATGCCTTTCTCAGGCTCATGGGCTCTGAGCTTTCCTTGTCTCGTTGCTGTTACCATGTAGAGAACAGCTGTCAAATCCCTTTCAGGTTACTCGTAGGATCCTGACTTGCAAATCCCATAATTTTTTTCCCTTACAATATTATTTTAAAATTATCTTTGGCAGTGTGAAGGTAGAATTTATTTATTTTTTTAAGTGTCTAAATAAAGATATTCAAAGACCTGCCCTTGTTTTGTGTGCTATTAGTTTGATTTATTAAACTTTTTTTTTTTCATTCTGGAACTCACCTTCTAAAGCATGTTCAAAACTGTCTTGATTAACTGAAAGAGAAATCAGGAAGCATTGGTCAATGTAAAGTGAATTCACTTCATTTGCATGAAATGAGGCCAAAAAATTAGATGCAAAAGCCCATGCCATGCTTTGGTGAAGTTAGTGTTATGTTTTGACTTGTCTTGGGCCACTATAATCAGTGAACGTGCCTGGGGACTCTTCACTTCCTAAGTTCCCAAGAGAAGATGAGATAGATAAGACCGAACGTCAACAACAGTGATAGTGAATAATTACTGAACACTCACCGCGTGTCCAAAATTGTGCCAAGAACTCTATATACATTTGCTCATTTAACCCTCATGACAATCTTGTTAGGTCAATGCTATTATCATCCCCATTTTACAGATGAGCAAACAGAGGTTCAGAGAAGTGAAGCGACTTCTCTGACATCACACAGCTTCTCAGTGATGGAGGCAGGATTTCTATCTGGGTTGCTCAAGCTCTGTGGTTTCTGCTCTCAATCATGTGGTTAGGGTCTTTTCATCATTTTCACGTGGGGCAAAGCACGAATGGATTGCGAGGCCCAAGACCTTTATACAAAATCCAGCCAGAGATGGAACTGTTTTCCTGTTTTGAAGACCATCTATGTACACCTCTCTAATTTCATTCTTATTCCTTTTTATTTGATGAGGCTTTGTATTCCATGTGAAACTATTTTTTTTTTTTGAGAAGGAATCTCGCTCTGTCGCCCAGGCTGGAGTGCAGTGGCGCACAGTCTCTGCTGACTGCAGAAACGATTTTTAATCATTTATATTTTCTGTAAAACTCCTCTGGAGGTTCAAGATGATGGGGACTGGCACCCCATCTTTGTCATCAGTCATGGTGGTAGCTGAGCACAAAAAAATACCAACAAGGATGGACGTTTATTACAGGAATGCAAAACCCCAGCGTGAAGGACTTCGATGAAAAAATTGCAGCATTAGGGGATAGGAGAGAGTGGCCACCAAAGGCTTAGCTATACTCATGTCTCCAATCCCAAGACATCCTAACCCATGCCTTGGTTAAAGTCACTCTCTGGTTTACGCCATCATCACACCATGACAACAAAACCAGCTGAAAAGCTAGCTGGCTAACTAAGTGCACACATCTTTGCAGCTTTGGCATCAAGAAAATGGAAAGATTGAAGCAGATGGTCCCGCCCCAAGATGTGAGTCGCACCGTGGTTGAGTGGGAGTGCGTGAATGTCCATGGAATCCTAGAACTGGGAGGAGGCATTGAATCTTGTGTCCCTTGGAGCCCCGTGCTCATGGACCGCAGGGGGCATGTTAAATGCAGATTCCTGGGCCATTCCTGGGACTTGCCAGGGCAGTATTCTCAGGGGTGGACCTCTGCAGGTCTCACCAATGCCCCAGCTGTGCTGATGCATCCAGTGGGCTCACTGGCTCCTCTTTAGAAACTCTGATCTGGGCTCCCCCAGTTAGTTCACAAAAAGGGAAACCAAGGTCAGAGAGGGAAGGAGGCTCACTCAAGGTCACACAGGTGGTCCACAGCAGAACCGGGCTGGAGCCTGGGGGCCCCATGTCCCAGTCAGGTGGCCTCACATTGGCATTGAGTTGCTTCCCCTCCTGCAGACCACAATGTCATGCATCCCAGTTTCTTTTTCTGAAGAGGAAGTGATTTATCATTTGTGTACAGAGTTGGTGGTGGGACGCATCTCAGGAGTGGAAATGGGGAGGGAAGAAAGGTGCAGGGGTCTCCCGAGAGCCTTTCCTGCTAGCAATTCCATCACAGCTGTGGGAGAAAGCAGTGAGCTGGTGCACCTTGTGGGGCTTCTAGGGATGCTAGCCCATAGAAAAGAGAGGTTTCAGGGATCACCTGCAAAATGGAGCCTCTTTTTAGCTTTCCTGGTTTTTTTCTTTTTTTTGGTCATTTGTGTATATTCTTTTTTTTTTTTTTTTTTACAGAATCTTGCTCTGTCACCCAGACTGGAGTGCAGTGGTGCGATCTCGGCTCACTGCAACCTCAGCCTCCCGGTTTCAAGCAATTCTCCTACTTCAGCCTCCAAGTAGCTGGGATTACAGGTGCACACTACCATGCCCCGCTACATTTGTGTATATTCTGATGGTAGTTTTATTTTCCTATCAGTTTGGCAGCATGTAAAAAACATTGAAAACATACAGTGCTGGTGAGGATGTGGAGAAATGGACATTATTACACGTTGTTGGTGAGCGTTGATTGCTCCAATTGCAGGCAACGATTTGGTGACATCCAGGACAACTCCATATCCACAGGCCTTTGCCCACACCATCAATCCTGCTTTGAGGAACCTGTCCTGCAGGATGAAAAGTGCCAGCATCCAAGGATTCATGGGCAAGAATGTTTTTACAAAACAAAACAAACAAAAAACTGGAAGAGAACTGATGTCTCCATCAACAGAGGAAGGGCTGAATGCACTGGGGAACAGGCAAAGTGTGGAATAATGGGTGGCAATTAAAAAAAATAACATGGTGCTACATTTGTAATAAGTAAAACACAGAGTACAGCATGATATGGACCCCCCTCCCTTTTTTTTCTTTTGATACAGGGTCTTGCTCCCTCTCCCAGGCTGGAGTGCAGTGGTGCAGTCATGGCTCACTGCAGCCTCAACCTCCTGGGCTCAAGCAATACTCCTGCCTCAGCTTCCCAAGTAGTTGGGACTACAGGAGCGTGTCACCATGCCCGGCTAATTTTTTTGATTTTTTTGTAGAGATGAGGTCCCACTATTTTGCCTAGGCTGGTCTCAAACTCCCAGGCTCAAGTGATCTTCCCACCTTGGCTCCCGAAGTACTGGGATTACAGGTGTAAGCCCCCCCCCCCCAGGTTTTTTTTTTTTTTTTTTCTATAAAACAAAAACAAACATCCCTCTCTCTTTCCAAGTATATCTACGTGTACAAGCCTAGGGAAAGGTGTGACACTGGAAATTCAAGTGATCAGCACTGGCTTCCGCAGAAGAAAGAAAGGGATGGAGGAGAGAGGAAAACTCTGCTCCTTCCATTTGAAACTCTGATTTCTTCTACTTGTTCCATGAGATACCTTCGCAATTAATCCAAGAAGAATTTAAAAAGCCACGTGGCAGATACAAACACGTTGTCCAGGCCAAAGTTGCCCTTTTCATGGTTTTCTTATTTGGGTTTTTTGTGTTTTTTTGTGTTTTTTTGTTTTTTTTTTTGTGAGGGAGTCTCTCTCTCTCGCCCAGGCTGGAGTGCAGTGGCGCACAGTCTCTGCTGACTGCAGAAACGATTTTTAATCATTTATATTTTCTGTAAAACTTCTCTGGAGGTTC